GTGGAAGAAGGGGGATTAGGCAACTTTCCGGGGCAGGATTTTTTTTTTCACCTTTAGGCTGTGCATGATTTTTTTAGGGTGGGCAATGACTCCCCTTGCCCGATTTATTTTTCAGCAGTTTTTGATGTGCAGGAATTGTTGTTGTTTGTTTGTTTTATTTTAGTTTAGTTTATTTTTTTTTTNGGGGGGGGAGAATTGCTAAAAAAGTAATGGTCTGCCCCTTATTTTCCAGGGATGAATTAAGGCTTCTTTTAAATTACGCACCCTTGTCTGAGGGGAAAAGAGTTTAAAGTTGTACTTTCGCTGAATATAAGTTAAAAATAAGACAGGAGTAAAAAAAGGGAATAGGAATACCGCCGAGATTGATATTTCCCACGTTGATAACAGTTTGATTTGTATCCAGCTGTTAATCATAAATTCAAAATTTCCATTTTCGTTCATTCGTTTTCGAATTAACTGATCGCCAACAAATTGTTGTCCTGCGCTTAATGAACACCTTACTTTTTTTTCTTTTTAAGAAAAGAGTTTCGGAGTTTTGGGACCTTGCACAGAAACCCTAAAGAGGAATTTTAATATTTTAGGAAATCTTAAATAGATAATGGACGAATAGTTTTATTCTTGGTTTTAATCAAAGTAAATGCCAAACAGAGCATTCAACTATGAACCCTTTTATTTCCAATCTGCGTCTAACAGTAAAAATATGTGATAGACGTACCACTTTGCAAACGTTTTCTATAAAAATAAACTAAGTTATGGTTTGCCAATAGACATTACATGGCACCCTTGGATTAAAAACGTTGCTATAGACCAATAGAAACACATTTATAACGTTCCTTTAGTGAAGGAAAGGACATAAACAATGTTTTATGTTCCTAACCAAAGACATTGTCACAAGTTCGACAGGAATGTGAGCGAAACCTGGTGTTTTCATTTTTGTTGATATGGAAATATAAATTCTATCTACGTAAATGTTTGTCATACTCTCACCTCCTAATGTGTTACGTTCCTGTTACTTGCAGAGTAGTGTTGTATAGACTTACGCCCTTACTTTGGATTCTATGATCTTGCAGTTCTAATGCATTTTCTCGAAGTCATGTTAATGATAGATAGGGAATCCCCTTCATTAAAAAAAAGTGATGGAAATTAACTTCCGGGTTCTTTTATTTTTTACTACATGAAATCTTTCTGAAACTTAACCAACAGAATGGAAGATTTAATGAATTGAATTTCTCGTTTCTTGATGCTTTATACTTCGATTTTTTGAACTCAAATAACGTCCAAAATCTAATCAATTTTGCAAAGTAACCTTAAGTTGGAAAATTTTAAACCACCTCATGATGGCTACACGCTTTATTGTGCTTTCAATGAGGTCTTAATTCTGCTAATTATGCGTCGTTCTTCCATTTCGAACACTGATTAGTTTCTAACTTCTTCATTACCTTTTCACAGCCAATTCCAAGGGGGAAGGTCATAACAATCAAGGACCTGAACATGTCAGGGAAAACTTGCAATTTAAACTAAAAGTTTTAATGCCAACCCTATATTATAACAACTGTTAACGTATGCCAATAAATTAGTGCTTGCCAATGAATTCTTCCTAATTGTCCCCTTTCTTGTCTTATTTGAATTTGCTTAACTTCGTATGGAAAAATGTTACTTTTGAAGACAACAGAGTCGGAAGCGACAAAATTCTTTCCAACTTTTGTCTCCACTACAATGACTACATGTAATTTTGACCTTCAGCTTGTTACAGTCTTGATTAAATAAGAAAAGGTGGATGCAATATCGCTAAACACCGCGCTTCTAATCGCCAGCTGATAAAAATTCGAGTTTGGGTTAAAACAATGCCATTGGTTATACTTGTAGAGCCAACTCCGATTATCAACATTGTGACCCTTGTGAATACGATTCCATAGTTTATGATTTTAGTGAGAGCATGTATGTCTAAACTGACGTGACGTGAAAACTTTACATAATAAGTGTCTGTCTTAACGTATTATGAACAGTTACACCGCGTACAAGTATCAACTTCGTAAATGGTACAAAGTAAAGTTTGTTTCTTTCTCACTGACATTTGGAAACAATCCATGCTCTAAATCTGAACAAGATATAAAGAAACATATGCGCCAAAAACTGCAGGATGATTAGCAAAAAGAAAACGGTGAATATTGCCTCGCCTGCACGGTCCTCATAATTAAGGACTCTGTAAATATAATGCTTCCCATCTTTGTTTTCGCCTCCCGCGCCCCAGTAAATAACAGTGAAAAGCACGTAAACTGACGAGAAAATATGAGAATAAATGAAATGCAAGAGACGTATGGGAATATTACTCATTATCACTTCCATCAGCATAAACACCGGGCCCAAGATGTGCTGGTTCACCATCAAACCATTGATTTCCACGCCTGAGTACACTGCTGACCAGTAAGTAATGGTGACCACCACTGAAGTGACGCTTGCAATGTTGAAGAACAACCATAACACCTTTTCTGGCCAACTCAAAGCGTTGTCATCTTCTTCTACTCTGGCGTAGGACGTGCCTTCGTCTTCGTCGTCCTCCTGCGACAGTCCCACGATGTAGGTTTCCGACTTGAAACGACGCGGCCCGTACCCTGCCGGATCGTCTTCGATCCCGGCACCGCAGCAGTAATGGGTGGTGATGAACATAGCCAGCATGAAGTGCGCGGTTACAAGGGTGAAGACCCAGTTGCTGAGGTAAATGAACCAGTAGCCACCATCAAAAAAGCCGCTGAAGATCAGCCAGGATAAGAAGTAAAAAGCAGCAACCAGGCGGTAAATGAGAAACAGGGGAAGTGGCACCCACTAAGATAAAAACAAAACAATTAATCAATCAATCGACGTACACACTTGATTAATTCGGCATATAGTAAAACATGGATTGGATTGGATTTGTAAAACATGGATTTGTAAATTTGGACTGACATTTGCTCGACTCTCTAATGTCTTTAATTTAATCAATTTGTTTGTTTGTCATTTTGAAAATTTACGTTTTACGGAAATCGGTCATTTTTTCTATTTGTCAGGAAAATTTACCGGAGTAAAGTCCAGCAATCGTAGCAGGACGTTCTGCGCGCAAATTAAAATGCCTCTCAGGCTGTTGTTGACCTTTGACCGAAATAATTTTGCATTCTTTAATTTCGCGGGAAAGTCACGGCACTGCGCGAGGAAGAGGATGAGTAGGCGGCTTGTTTCAAGCTTCCATCTCTCAGAAACTTCACTGACATGTATCTTTGCAGTGATAGTGTTGAAAAAGATTTTCAATTGAAAAGATGTAGTCAGATAAACACTTGAAATAAGAATGGTCAGTCCAGGGCAGGCTCCTTTAAGGTTCTGTTTCATGTCGTAATTTAAAGTGTTCTCTTCTTCAAACTCGAGGAAAATTCATTCGCATCTAGTACTTTCTACACACGCAATTGTTTACTTTGCAATGTCCCGCCACGTCATTTTACGAGCGCGCGCTTACTGAATAATGTGCAATACCTGTAATTTAATTAGAAGAAAGACCATCACAGTTAAATACACGACTCACATAGCTGTGATAAAGCCTGAACAAAATATGAATTTCATGCATTGTATTTCATGTAGCTGTCTTTTACAGGATATATTACGACCACACAATGACCGGGCCCGAGTCGACTTGGTAGATCACTTGGTTAGATAGAGCACATTGGTCATAGGTTCGAATCTCGTTCAAACCTGATTGTTTTTTCAGGTTTTATCACAACTACTTTTAAAGTTGTATATTTAACTCGATGGTTTTTATTACTAACCACAGTTTAAATCTTTATTCTTTAATTCAAATATATGAATTTCATATATTCTATTTCCTGTAAATACATGTAATTAGTGCTTGTAACCATTGCTATAGCTTTGCATAGTATAAACGAGTTTGGACGCTTGGTGTGTCCCCTTGATTTTCTTTTGAAGGATCATTTTCTCTGTAGTTTCTCTACATTTTGTGTAGAGGAAGTAGAGGATTTAGGTTTTTCTACATCTGCCGGCGGGCCACTGAATTCTGCTAATAGCTTGGGCTGTACCACCAAATGATTAAAAGACTTGAAATATTTCAGAACCCAACCTTTCTACCAGTGAGATACATGTAAGTATAATGTAGCTGCTCTGACAGATTGACATGATGCACATTAACTAGTTTAATATTTTTCGTTTTTCATTTCAATTTACAAGGCATAATTTTTCTTTGGGTAGTAACATAAACAATTTACAACGCAAATTCTTGCTATTATACCTCATGGCAAACAATTATTAGTAGCCTTTTTGCTTTTATTTAGAAATGAGTTCGCCCCAATTTAAATGGCTTTTTTAAAATGCTGTGTATCCTTAGATAGTTACGTTTTAAATTTCAGTGAAAATTGTATTGTTTTAAAATCCTGGGGGCCCTAGCTAGTGTCCACTTAGTAGAGGTGATCGCGAGTTAATTCGATTTACAGAAAATATGGAGAGAAAAAAACGTTTGGTCTGAAACGGTTTCCACTTGGTATGGGGTCCGCTTAAAACAAGTTTCACTGTATATTCAATCTCTTTCTCTCGGTCTCAGTGCTATTGAAAGCCCAAGCTTTATTTGAAAGCCCATAAGTGAATTGTGTTAGCATTTCGTTCTCTGCAATTTGCTTAATAATTATACAATTTACGTGATGGGTTAGATCACCTCCATGAAAAAGTGTGCTTGAAATTTGCAAATAGAATTGAGACGATAGTTTTTTTTTTCTGCTGAGCGTTATAAGAGTTTCTTCGTACTACAACACGGTCAGTGTTTCAAATTTCTCGTTCATTGTATGTTTTGCGCGTACATTGATTTTTTGTAGAAAGCATTCATTCTGTACTCAACGCTCGAGGTGAACACCGGTTTCGCGCGCGCTCTATCTTGCCTAGCATATGTGACCTGGTGACAACAACTTAATCTGCTCGAGAGGCCATGGTTGAACAATCTATCTTTCTCAAAGATTTCTTCTGTTGGAGTTGATGAGACTTGCAAAGCAAAAAGTTTAAAAGATAATACTCATAAAGATCAATAAATAACGAGTTTGTTTCTTATTTATCCAACACAAAGCTTTGTTGATAATACAGTTAAATAAAACTGAATGTGAGTGAATATATCCTGCATTGGATTAACTTTTAGTTATGCTCTGAACTTAGGGTGTGTATTAAGGGGAACTTCCATGCGAACACTGTTCCCGCTGAGATCTAACTCCAACTAAGAATATCCATGACAACTATATTTATAATGAAAACTTTCCTCTGGAGCAGGTTATACCAACCCTAAGTATCGCTGGTAATATGAAATATTAGTTGTATTTTACACATAGTTTTGAGACTTCTTTTGACAAAAGCAACACACTTTTAGATACTTTTAAAAGCCTCAGTTTTATCAATATTAAAGTTTAAGAATGGACAATCAACATTGCATCTGACGACTCAGAAAATTGTTTCATTTGAGCGGAGTTAAAAGAGCTGGTAAACACGCATGTACGTAATGTAAACATTGCGTGTCTATTTATTGCGCCAAAAAGAAAACTGAATCAAAAAGGAGTACTTTCTTGCGAGCCGATCGCAGAGTGTTCATGAAACCTGCTGCTGAATGGAGTTCTCTGAAGTTATATTATATGTTGCTATAAAAACATGGATTATCTCAGGGACTGAGAAGACTGACAATTTTTGCGCAAACGGGACGCGATCTCAAACCCGTAAATTTACTTCAAAATAGTTTTGTTCATTCTTAGTTTTGTTTTAGCGGAGCAAATGTAACTGAATTTCGTGATCTATTGGTCGCTTCACGTTTTAAAAAGTGTATTCAAAGCACGGCTTTCCTTACAGCAAGGCCTGCAAACAAAAACGGCTTTTCTAAACCCAAAATATTAGATGCTTGTTTATAACCGAAGTCACTGAAGTGGAAGCCCGCCTTCGCATAATTAATTCCCCTGATAACATTGATCAATCTCTATAAATTTTGGCGCCATAAATGAAATAAATGTTTCACACCGCTGAATGAAGGCAATCAGTTATGAACGTGAAAAGAGAGTTTTGTAACGACGGCAGTAATATTAAGAAGAGAGAGAGGTTCGAATAAACTATGCTTTGCTTATCCTTTCATTACCATAACTCTCAGTGGTGGAGAATAAGAATAAGTTCTTGTATATGGCAAAGAATTTTCTGTGTTCTTTGGCTTCAAAGTACCTTTAAAGTAGTCCTCACCGCGTTTAATGTGCGCATTTGTCCGATAACGTGGTCGGCACCAAACATAAAAGTTTCAACGACGATAAAAACGCCTTCATCCGAGTAAGAAGAATTAAATCATAAATCCTTGTGGATCATTCCCTGAATAATCTAAACATTTTCACTGGAAGACTTTGCGGAACTTACCGGCGATGTTGCGAAGGCGCTAGCATACGGATGTGAGAGTTTTAAACGTCTGAATGAGAATTCCTCCGGACATAGACACATCTTTCTCGAGAACAGTTCGAAGCCGCTTTCACATCTCAACTCTGTCGTCAGTCAAGCGATACGTGAAGTGAATACTGACTGCTACTGGCAATGTGCAAATTTTTGCCCTTTGGATTCATTCATGCATGCCGAACTCAAAGACGAGCTCATCCCTCAGGGACACGCGACCAGAGAGCTTTTTGAATCTTAATGATCTCTCAAAATATTTCAGTGGCTGGCCTGAAGCTAGGTAACAGTTGTTAAATTAAAACTCATGGTGCTCTTCCTGAACTTGGTTAATTTTGACTTTTTTCCCTATTTTATTTATTTATTTATTTATTTATTTTATAAAGTACGAGCTATTTTAAAGAGCCAAACAGCTGTATGACAGCACTTGTGCTCTATAAAATCACGTGGGAATAGAAGGTGAGCATTTACATTGCTGTTAGAAAATCAAGGATAATCATGGAAACAGTGACTCATTTATCACGTGCATGTTTTACGACACAATAGGGCTGACACAACGTTGATTTTTCAAATCGATTTAAAAGCCTCCCAGAAAGAGGAAAGTTGGGTACCATTAAAATGATTCATGGGGAAGTGTTGTGGGGAAGAAGATTGACAAATAGACAACGTAACAAAATGAAAAGAAGTCAATGAATGTTAACAATGCTTTATGTACTGAACAGTTTAAGTTGGGTGCGCGATGGTCTCATGGTTAGTATAGTATAGTGAAGTCGATCAACTCCGGATCGAGCGGTCTGGGTTCGAGCCCTGGCCGGGGACATCGTGATGTGTTCTTGGGCAAGACACTCTAATCTCACAGTGCCTCTTTTCTCCCAGGTGTCTAAATGTATGCCGGCAACTGGAATTTAATGCTGGGGGTAACCCTGCGATGGACTAGGATCGCATTTAGGGGGAGTAGAAATACTCCTAGTCACTTCATGCTACAGAAACCGGGATAAGCTCCGGCCTGATGGGCTACTTGGCTCGTATGCCTTAACCTTTTACTTCCTTTAGAAAGCGATTGAGCTGAATGAGCGTAAAAAAAGAGAGTTAGGAAGAGCGCGTGACAAATCCGCTCCCTTTATTTCATCTATTTCAAGCTTTTGTGCTTTCCCGTTCGATCCTTTAATTAAGGTTGCCGGGGTGAGAGGAAAACCAACCACCCATGCCCCTCAAACCCTGAGTAGTTTTGACTGTTCTTTTTTCCGTATTTTGTTTACGCTGAAAGGAGGAAATGAGTATACAAATTCCAAATTTGACGACTTGTCCTTGAGTTTATCCGGGAACAATTTAGTTTGACTAGTCGTTGGTCAGGGATCTTGTGTTTCCATGGAAAAAAAATATTTCATTTGACAGGCATGTTTTCAAATATCTATTTTTAAATACCTTTTCAGCAATTTCAAACTTTCTTTCTCGGCTTTGACAATTTTTGGGTCATTGTGGGAAGTCTCCCAGTATTTTGGTAAAAATCACAAAATCCAAGATGGCGAATGAATCCAAGATGGGGGTTGTTTGGAAATGATGGCGTCAGTCCAATCTACTTCAACTGACGTCAATATAACGTATATTCTACGTTATGGAACCCAAAGAAAACATTATTGGAAGTCCTATAAATGTATCAAGTTCTAACATTTACAGGGTAAGGACTTCCAAAGTCTCCCCCCTTTCTCCTCGCCAACTCCCCCCTTCCCCCTTCCGGTCCCACCACAGCACACCCAATAAAGCCCGGTCTGAACAGGGAACCTAGCCCAAATTTAGGGGCTTTACTAGCATACCTCTTACTAAAGTTCTTTCTTGTTTTATAAACGTTGTTGTCTGAGACGAGAGACCCCTGCACTTTATATAATAATCCAAGTAATTCTCGCATTTTGATTGGTTCTCGCCTATGATCTATTAGAGGACAGACGCACGATTGACGTCATCATTTCAAAGTTT